TGTGCAGCGTGCCCTCGGGGTGGGCATCGGGGCAGGACAGGGATGCAGCCACAGCTCAGGGCCCACACAGCACACGGAGAAAGGGCTGAAAACCCTCACAAAGCTGCTCGGGAAGAGGAAGTTTGATGTGTGGGTCCCACGTCCCTGCCTCTGAGCAAACTAAGTGGGAGCAGGCAGCAGCCTCGGGGCTCCCGCGTGTGCTGTGCTCCCATCTGTGTCTCACCCCGGGCAGGGATTCGGCTCCTTGAGGTACCGGTGATGGTGTTGTCAGCGTGCTGGGGTGCTGAGGAGCCCTTAGGGCAGAACAGAGGCTGGGCTCCCGCTGCCATTTCCCCGCAGTAGCTGTTGCTTTGTCTCATGTGCAAGATGTGAATAATTCCTCACCCTCCTCACGTGGATGTAGCTGTAGGAGCAGTGATGTGCGTGTGTGTTTGTGCTGTGTGCAACTGTCGTGTTTAACTCCGTGCAGCTCAAGTACTTGTGTGTGACCACGTTAGAACAATACTGAGGGTCACTGTAACCCGCAGTGGAAGGGGAAAGGCCACGCAGGGCTGGTCGGGTCAAGTGATGAGCATGGGGTTTGTGCCGCACGTGGCTGCATGGTCACAAGGGTGCAGAACCAGAGCTGGAAGCGGGCCACGGCTGCGGGTGCATGCTCACGGTCAGTGTGTATTAAACCAACTGCACAACAACGAGCCTGGCCTCCCTCCTGCTTCCCCTGCGCTCAACGAGCTCCTCTGCCCCTCTTCCTCCTGTTGGGGGGAGCTGGGGTCTTTATCCATGGATGGGTTGTGGAAGGAGCCCGGTGTAACCGTGCCCTGTTCGAGCATCCCGGTGCTGCGGGGCTGGGCAGGGGCTGGTTTGTCCTGGAGCTGAGGCTGGATTGAACCTGGGCTCTGGGGGTGCCTCTGCCGGGTCGGGGCTCCTGCCCCGCTCCGCTCCCCGCTGTTTGTTCGAGGCCTTTCCTGCCCGAGGGGTTTTCCGCGTGTGCAGGAGCGGGAGGGGGGTTCCGGTGGGATCCGGCCGTTGTGTCCCTTGGTGGGGGGGGGGGGGGGGGGGGGTGAGGATCCCGGTCCTGCCCGCTGCGCTGGGACCGATCCCGCGCTGCTGCTGGTGCCCGCTCTGCCAGGGGCCGCGCTCCCTTTCGCCCCGTGCCCCGGCCCTCGCCGCACTCCCGCTGCCATCACCGGGTTTCTCCCGTTTCCATCACCGGGTTTCTCCCGTTTCCAGCCCTCCCCTCGGCCGCCTGCACGGCTCCGGGGCCGCCCCCGCTCCCGGCCTTGCAGCGCCCCCTGCCGACCGCAGCGGGTCTCGCTCGATCCCGGGGACCCTGCGCCGGGCACCGCCGCTTCCCGGGGCTCGGAGGCGGCTCCGGGACCGCGGGTGTTGAACGCGGTACGGGACCAGCCCGGAGCCCCCGGTGCCACCCCCGGTGGGGTGGGGGGGGAGGCCCGGCAGGAGCCCCGCTGCGGTCCCGCTTCCGCCCCGCCGGTCCCAGCCCAGCCCCGCCCCGGCCCCGCCTCCGGCGCTGGGGCAGGAGCGGCGATGGCGGCGCGGTGGGGCCCGGCGCTGGGGCCGCTGCTGTTGCTGCTGCTGCTGCCGCTGCCGCCGCCGGGGCGGGCGGGCGCGGGGGATGCGCGGCAGGAACAAGCGGTGCGGGCGCTGGCGCGGCGGCTGCTGGGCCCGCGGGCCGCCGCCGTGGCGCTGTCGGTGGAGCCGGCGCTGTCGGAGGACGGCACCGACACCTACCGGTTGCGCTCCCCGCCCGGCGCCGCCGTGGCCGTGGCCGTGACGGGCTCCAGCGGCGTGGCGGCGGCCGCCGGCCTCTACCGGTACCTGCGCGACTTCTGCGGCTGCCACGTGTCGTGGTCCGGGGCGCAGCTCCGCCTGCCCGATCCGCTCCCGCGGCTGCGGACCGAGATCCGCGCCGCCGCCCCCGGCAGGTAACGGGGGCCCCAGCGCGGCGGGGCCGGGCGCTGCTCACGCCTCGTTACCCCGGGACAAGGCGTCCCTTGTGGAACGGGGCCGGGAACGGGGGGACCGGGGGGCCGGGGGCCCATCCGCAGCCTCCCGCCCGCTCCCCAGGTACCGGTACTACCAGAACGTCTGCACCCAGAGCTACTCCTTTGCGTGGTGGGACTGGGCGCGCTGGGAGCGCGAGATCGACTGGATGGCGCTCAGCGGCATCAACCTGGCCCTGGCCTTCGTGGGGCAGGAGGAGACCTGGCAGCGGGTTGAGTATCCCAGGGCCGGGCAAGGCCGTGGGGCAGCTGTGGGGCAGGCGTGGGGCCGGCTGAGCCTCCGCTGCCCGCGCAGGTTTACCGCTCGCTGGGCCTGAACCAGACGGAGATCGACGCGTACTTCACGGGGCCGGCGTTCCTGGCCTGGAACCGCATGGGGAACCTGCATGGATGGGCAGGGCCGCTGCCGCCCGCCTGGCACCTCAAACAGCGCTACCTGCAGGTACCACGCGAGCCCCTGCCCTGGTCCTGCACATCCACACCATGGAGCCTCGGGGCCACCATCCTCTTCCCCCAGGCCCCTCACAGGGAGGTTGGGGCTCCTCTGCCCCCCTGCTCCCTCCCTCTTTCTCTCTCCCAGTACCGGATCGTGGAGAGGATGCGCTCGCTGGGGATGCTCACGGTGCTGCCGGCCTTCGCGGGCCACGTGCCCCAGGGGGTTCTGCGGTAGGTGCAGCCCCACGTGCTCACAGACCCCGCGGGGCAGATCAGCTCCGGTCCTGCCTCCATCCCTTGGGATGCACAGGGCGCTCCCGAGGCCAACACAGCTCCTGGCCCTCGTGCCTGTGCTGGCTTCCCTATGAGGCTGCCCCGTGGTGCTCTTGTCCTGCTCCTGATCCCTTCTCTGCCCTTGGCACAGGGTTTTCCCACGCGTGAACGCCACTCGCCTCGGGGGATGGAGCCACTTTGACTGCACCTATTCGTGTACCTACCTGCTGGACCCGCAGGACCCCATGTTCCAGGTGATCGGGACCCTCTTCCTGAAGGAGCTCATCAAGGAGTTTGGCACAGACCACATCTACAGCGCCGACACCTTCAACGAGATGACCCCGCTCTCCTCCGACCCTGCTTATCTCTCGAGGGTCAGCAGCGCCGTCTTCAGGTCCATGACGGGAGGTGGGTCACCGGGGCTGAGCGGTGGGGACAGCGGGAGGGTGGCTGCGGGCCCCACACGGGCTCAGACCCATGGGTGCCAGACCCTCGGCATCGCTCTGAGAGGTCGCTCGGTGGCTCTCGGGGCCCTGCCTGCAGGGGCCCTCACCCTGCACCTTCGTCCCCAGCCGACCCCGAGGCGCTGTGGCTGATGCAGGGCTGGCTCTTCCAGCACCAGCCCGAGTTCTGGCAGCCGGCGCAGGTGCGGGCGCTGCTGCACGGCGTGCCCCTCGGCAGGATGATCGTTCTTGACCTCTTCGCCGAGTCCAAGCCTGTCTACCAGTGGACAGAGTCCTTCTACGGGCAGCCCTTCATCTGGTGCATGCTGCACAACTTCGGGGGCAACCACGGCCTCTTCGGCACCGTGGAGGCCATCAACCGCGGCCCCTTCGCCGCCCGACGCTTCCCAAACTCCACCATGGTGGGCACCGGCGTGGTGCCGGAGGGCATCGAGCAGAACGACATGGTGTACGAGCTGATGAACGAGCTGGCCTGGCGCCACCAGCCCTTGGACCTGCCCCGCTGGGTCTCCCGCTACGCCGAGCGCCGCTACGGTGCCGCCAACGCCGCCGCAGCCAGCGCCTGGCGCCTGCTGCTCCGCAGCGTCTACAACTGCACCGGCGTCTGCGTGAACCACAACCGCAGCCCGCTCGTGCGCCGCCCCTCGCTGCGCATGGACACGGAGCTCTGGTACAACGCCAGCGACGTCTACGAGGCCTGGCGCCTGCTGCTGAGCGCCGGCGCGGAGCTGGGCTCCAGCACCGCCTTCCGCTACGACCTGGTGGACGTGACGCGCCAGGCGGCTCAGCAGCTCGTGAGCGGCTTCTACCAGAGCATCCGCGGCGCCTTCCGGAGCCACGCGCTGCCCGAGCTGCTGGCGGCCGGCGGCGTCCTGCTCTATGACCTGCTGCCGGAGCTCGACCGCCTCCTCTGCAGCCACAGCCTCTTCCTGCTGGGCCGCTGGCTGGAGAGCGCCCGCGCCGTGGCCACCAGCGCCCGGGAGGCCGAGCAGTATGAGCTGAACGCCCGGAACCAGCTGACGCTGTGGGGACCCAACGGGAACATCCTGGACTACGCCAACAAGCAGCTGGGGGGGCTGGTGCTGGATTACTACGGCGTGCGCTGGAGCCTCTTCGTGTCCGCGCTGGTGGAGAGCCTCAACTCGGGCACCCCCTTCCACCAGGACCAGTTCAACCAGGCCGTGTTCCAGGTGGAGAGAGGCTTCGTGTACAACCAGAAGCGGTACCCAGCCGTGCCGGCCGGGGACACGCTGGACATCTCCAGGAAGCTCTTCCTCAAGTACTACCCCGGCGCCCGCGCTGGGAGGCTGTGACTTGGACAGAGCCCCCCCCCGTGCCCCGTGTCCTCCATCCCCTGGACCCCTGCTTCCTGCACACGGAGGGGGGGGGAGCTGGCGGCCGGATCGGGGGCAGGCTCTGCCCCAGGGACCCCTCCTGCGTCGTGCTCAGTGCTCAGCCCTGAGCAGCAGCCCCAGGGAAAGGGGGGACTTGGTCCTCCCTGGGCCGAGTGCTCCCTGCTCCATGGACCCCAGTGCCTGCGGGCCCCCCCCCCTCGCTTTGTGCCTTTTGTACTGAAAGAGACTTGGAGGAGGTTTCTGCAGGGCCGCGCTCCCCAGGACAGGGATTCCGAGCCCTGCCCGGCTGCGGAGCGATTAAAACCCTGGCCGCTGAGTGCTTTGTTCCTGCCCTTGCGTGTCCATCCCCCTCTCCCCAGCGGGCGGCAGAGCAGCGGGCTCAGCGCTGTCAGAGGGGGAGCCTGGCACGGCCCAGCCCGGCACAGCCAGTGCCAACCCCGGCGCTGCGGCTCCCCCCCTGCCCCGGCCTCCTCCCGTGGGGGGTCCTGGCTCGGTGGCTGCAGCTGCACCAGCATCAAGGCGCAGGGAGGTGGGCGGAAGGGCCTTGAGATAAGGCGTCAGACACAACACCGGGGCGGGGGCACCCCCCTGCCAGCCCTCATAAACGGCGCGGCCGCCGGAGCCGGCACCGCGGGGCCATGGAGAGAAGCACGGTGCTGATCACGGGCTGCTCCTCGGGCATCGGCCTCGGCCTGGCCGTGCGCCTGGCGGCCGATGGCGGCTTCAAAGGTGAAGGGGTGATGCTGCACCGGGGAGGGGGAGACCGACACAGGGGGTCCCAGGGCAGCCGGTGCTTGGGGTGAGCTGTGACCGGCACCGATGGCACCGTGGCCACGCTCTCTCCGGCAGTGTACGCCACCATGCGCGACCTGGCCAAGGGCGAGCGGCTGCTGCAGCTCCTCGGGGGCCGCTGCCCCGACACGCTGGAGGTGCTGCAGCTCGACGTGACCGACCCGCGGTCGCTGGAAGCCGCCGCACGCCGGCTGCAGGGGCAGGCGCTGGATGTGCTGGGTACGGCTCTTGCAAGGGGTCCTCATGGGGGCAGTGGGACCCTCCCCGGGGCAGTGCCAAATGATGGGAGGTGCCAGCGGTCCTGGGGCCGGGATGTGTTCAATGGGGCAGGGGTGTGGGAGCTGGGTTTGGGGGTTTTCAAGGGCTTCCGGCACCTTGAGGGGGCTGCAGTGCTGGCTCACTCGTGCTGTGCCCCGCAGTTTGCAACGCTGGGGTGGGACTGATGGGTCCCCTGGAGACCTGCTCGGACCAGGACGTGAAGAACGTGTTTGATGTGAACCTCTTCGGGGCCATCCGCACCATCCGGGCGTTCCTGCCCGCCATGAAGCGCCGCAGGGCCGGGCGCATCATCGTCTCCAGCAGCATCGGGGGGCTGCAAGGTGGGACCCCCGGCACCCTGCGACCGGGGGAACCGCAGGGGAAGGGCCCCCGGTGCTCAGGCTGCGGCTCTGCCGCAGGGCTGCCCTTCAACTCCGTGTACTGCGCCAGCAAGTTCGCGGTGGAGGGGCTGTGCGAGAGCCTGGCCATCGTCCTGCGGCCCTTCAACATCCAGTGAGTGCCGCGGGGGGCTGCGCTCCTGCCGCCAGGCACCGCGATGGGGGGGGAACCAGGGCAGCTCATGCGCTCAGCTCCGTCCCGCAGCCTGACGCTGGTGGAGTGCGGGCCCGTGAACACGAGCTTCCTGAGCAACCTGCGGCGCCCGGACCCCGACGGCAGCGAACTGCAGGGCCTGGACGCCGAGACGCGAGGTCTCTACCGCCGGTACCTCCGGCACTGCCAGGGGCTCTTCCGCGCCGAGGCCCAGGAGGTGGAGGAGGTCCTGCAGGTCAGGCGGGGTGCGGGGGGCCCGGGGTTGGGTCGGGTCCGTGTCGCGGGGCCGTGGCTCTGAGACCCCTCTGCGGTTCAGGTGTTCCTGGAGGCCATGGGCAGCCCCCGTCCCCCCCTGCGCTGCGCCACCACGCAGCTCCTGGCGCCGCTCGCACGGCTCCGCCTGACCGACGGCTCCGCGTACGTCCAGGCCATGCACGACTTCGTGTTCGGCCGCCGCGAGGCCGGCGGGGACCAGCCCTGACCGGGAGCCCGGGGCAGCCGCTCTGCGACGGCGGGCGGGGGGGGGGGGGGGGATCGGGTCCCACCGTGTCACAAATAAACCCGCTCGCAGCTCACGCTCCCGGCTCCGTCCCTCTCAGCGAACCCGGCGGCTCCGCGGGGCCGGGTCTCTCTGTCCCCTCCCTCGAGCGGGCGGAGCCCGGCCCCGCCGCTCGCCTCTCACCGGGGCTCCGTCGCGAGAGGCGGGGCTCGGGGCGGTCCCGCTGCACGTTCCGGGTCGCGGGGGCCCGCGGCTTCCGGGGGCGATGCCGCCGTTCGGGTCGGGGCTGCTGGTGCTGACGGCTCCGCTGGCAGCGCTGCCCCGGCGGGCGGCGGCGGCGCTGGCGGCGGCCGCGGGGCTGGTGGCGGGGCCGCTGTACGTGCACCTGCAGCCGGGGCTGCGCCTCGCCGCGGCCCCGCCGCCGCTCCCCGCGGCCCCGCCGCCCGCCGGCCCCGCGCTGCTGCGGGCTCTGGCCGCGCTCTACGCGGCGGCGGCGCGGCGCGGGATGGACGTGCGCGTCCTGCTGGACCCCGGCCGCCGCCTGGCCCGGCCGCCCCGCGTCCTGCTGCTGCCCGCCAACGAGGCGCCGGGGCCGCCGGGGCCGGTGCAGCTCGGGCTGCAGAGCTTGGCCACCGCCGCCTACGGCTGCGCCCCGGACCTGCCCGCGCTGCTGCTGGGGGACCCCGCGGGGGACCTCGATGGGGACCCCAAGGAGGACCCCGAGTGCGGTCCCGATGCGGCGCTTCCCAACTTCTCCGGCGTGGCGGTCGGCGGCACCTTCGACCGCCTGCACGGCGCCCACCGCCTCCTGCTCAGCACTTGCTGCCTTCTGGCCCGGGACCGGCTCCTGGCCGGGGTGGCCGACGGCGACCTGCTCCGCCGTGAGTCCCGGGGCGGCGGCACCGTGCTGGGACGGGGGGGAGCTGAGGGCAGCGGGGCCCGGCTGCTGGTGGGAGGCCGGGGGGGGGGCTACCAGAGAGCGGCCAGAGCTCCGCGGTGGTGCTGCCCGGGGCACGGTGACAGCAGGGATAAGGCATCATGTCCATAGGAGCGAGGGAGGCGTGAGGGGGCTGCCTCCCAAAGCCGCAGGCGGGTTTTGTCTCCATCTCCCGGTCTGCTGCTTTCCATCACTGCTCTGGGAGCTGCCCGCTGTTAAACACTCTCCCCGGTTCTCTGTGCTCCCGGTGCCCGCAGACAAGGTCCTGATGGAGCTGATCGAGCCGTACGAGCTGCGGGTGGCAAAGCTGCGCGAGTTCCTGGAGGACGTGAAGCCGTCGCTGCGCTACGACATCGTGCGGCTCATCGACCCCTACGGCCCCAGCGTCACCGACCCCGACCTGCAGTGCCTGGTGGTCAGCCAGGAGAGCCGCCGTGGTGGGGAGGCCGTGAACCAGCTGAGACTTGAGAATGTAAATGGCTGCGGTGTGCGCCGGCCCGGGCTCAAGGGCATCCTGTCCCATAGAAGCTGCCTTCCCCTCTGCTGCTGCGAGTGTGCCCCCCGGGGACGGAGCTGCCTCGTGGGGACACTTTGGGGCAGCCGCAGCCGTGTTTGTGCTGCTGCACTGAGGCCTGGAGCCCCGTCCCCTCGCGGTGTCCCCGCTGCTGACAGCCCTCGGGGCTCTCCTCTCGCAGGGGCTCCCCGCGCTGGCTCTCTATGAGATCCTGCTGATGCAGGACCCCGACCACAGTGAGAACGAGGAGGAGAAGATCAGCTCCTCCAGCCTGCGGCACCGGCTGCTGGGGACGCTGCTGCGGCCCCCACGGGTGAGGGGGTCTCGGGGAGCTGCGGGGAACCGCGTGCCCTGGAGGAGGGGGCAGCCCCAGGCCCTGCTGCAGGGGATGTGTTCTGGAGGCCCCGCTGCCCACGCTCTGCAGCGCCAGCACCTTCTGTGCCCGTTTCCAGGCCGGGTGTGTGGGATCCTTCTCCAGCAAAGCCGTGTTCTCCCTGTGCTGGCAATGGGTTTCCTTCTCCCCATAGCAAGACCCTGCCCTGCCTTCGCACCCATACGTGATCGGCCTGACCGGAGGAACCGGGAGTGGGAAAACGTCCATCGCCAGGCTCCTGGGCGGCCTGGGAGCGTTCCTCATCGACGCTGACAAGCTGGGCCACGCTGTCTATGTCCCCGGTGGCCCTGCCTACAAGCAGGTGGTGGCGACCTTTGGTGCAGGTAGAGCCACGGAAAGCTTTGGGGAAGGCTGGGAAAAGGAAGAGGAGGGAGGGATGCGCCAGCATCCCAGGGAGCCGGCCTGGGCTGTGCCTGCTGGGATCTGTAGCTCATTCAGTGGTAGCTGGGCTGGGCAGGACAAAGCACTGCTTCCCCCACGTCTTGCACGCCCCATGGCAGAGCTGCTGCAGGCAGTGCAGGAGGCTGAGCCGGGCTGCTGCTCATCTGGGGAAAGCTATTCCCTGTCTTTCTGGAGTAAGCTGCCAGGTCAGGTCCTGCAGCTCCTTTCTGGGTCCGTCACTGCACGTTAGGCTGGCCACAGGGAAGGGAGCTGGGTTCATTCCTCCCAAGCCTGTTCTGCTTCTGTCTTGCAGAAATCCTGTCTGAAGATGGGACAATCAACAGGAAAGTCCTTGGGGCCAAAGTGTTTGGAAACCAGGTAGGAGCAGCACGGGCACAGTCAGGGTTTAATCTCCATCCCTGACGTACGCAGAGCCAGTGCCCCCAGAGGTTTGGGTTAAGCTGTGGTCCTTTCTAGGAGCGGCTGAAGAGCCTCACAGACATCGTGTGGCCCAAGATAGCGCGGCTGGTGAAGGAGCAGATCAGGGAGGCAGAAGCTCAAGGTAACCGAGCACAGAGCGGGGAGTTGGATGCGTGGCCTTGTGCAGCAGCTCAGGACACAGCGCCCTGCGGAGCGGCTGCTTTGGGCAGTGTTCTCCCTGCTCAGACCCCTCTCTGCTGGGCAGAGGCTTTCACTGGCACATCTCTGAGCAAACCCCCGCCTGCACTGGGCCAGGCTCAAGGACCTGGAGTGTGGCGAGGAGGAATTCCCATTGCCTTGCGACCGCAGGTAGTGAGGAACGTCCTCATCCCACAGGCAAGGCCGTGTGCGTGCTGGACGCTGCCGTGCTGCTGGAGGCTGGCTGGCAGGACATGGTCCATGAGGTGTGGACGGCTGTCATCCCGGAGGATGAGGTGGGAGATGCCCCTCGGCCTGTCCCTCGCCGCTGGGGCCGGTCCTCGGTTGCCCATCGGAGCGCCTGAGGTCCCCGTGGTCCCGGCAGGCCGTGCGGCGCGTGATGGCGCGGGACGGGCTGAGCGAGGAGGCGGCTCGGAGCCGGCTGCGGAGCCAGATGAGCAATGGGCAGCGCGTGGAGCGGGCGCACGTCGTGCTCTGCACGCTCTGGGAGCCCGACATCACCCGCAAGCAGGTGAGCGCCGGGGGCTGCCCTCGGGGTGGGGGACACAGGGACACAGACACGGGGGTGCTGCTGCCCATGAGGGAGGCTCTGGGGGTGCAAACGCAGCAGGGGCGTTTCCAGTTCTGGGCCCCTCAATTCAAGAAGGACAGGGAGCTGCTGGAGAGAGTCCAGCACAGGGCAACGAAGATGATTAAGGGAGTGGAGCATCTCCCTTATGAGGAAAGACTGAGGGAGCTGGGTCTCTATAGTTTGGAGAAGAGGAGACTGAGGGGTGACCTTATTAGTGTATATAAATATATAAAGGGGGAGTGTCACGAGGACGGAGCCAGGCTCTACTCAGTGGCAAACAATGATAGGACAAGGGGTAATGGGTACAAACTGGAACACAAGAGGTTCCACTTAAACTTGAGAAGAAACTTCTTCTTAGTGAGGGTGATGGGACACTGGAACAGGCTGCCCAGGGAGGTTGTGGAGTCTCAAAACCCGCCTGGACACATTCCTGTGTAACCTTACCGAGGTGTTCCTGCTCCGGCAGGGGGATTGGACTAGATGAGCTTTAGAGGTTGCTTCCAATCTCTAGCATGCTGTGATGCTGTGGTGCTGTGATGCTGCTGTGGTGCTGTGATGCTGTGATGATGCTGTGATGCTGTGATGCTGCTGTGATGCTGTGATGCTGCTGTGATGCTGTGGTGCTGTGATGATGCTGTGATGATGCTGTGATGGTGCTGTGATGCTGTGGTGCTGTGATGATGCTGTGATGATGCTGTGATGATGCTGTGATGGTGCTGTGATGATGTGGTGCTGTGATGATGCTGTGATGGTGCTGTGATGATGCTGTGATGATGCTGTGATGGTGCTGTGATGCTGTGGTGCTGTGATGCTGTGATGGGGACGGTGCCCGCCGTGCCCGCGGCTCTGAGGTGCGCGCTCTGCCCGCAGGTGGAGAAGGCCTGGGAGCTCCTGCAGCAGCGCCTGCCCCAAGCGCGCAGCCCCTGAGGGATCCGCGCCTCCTGCCCGCATCCCCCGCACCGGAGGGGCCCGGCCCGGCCCGGCCCGGCCCGGCAGCCCCGCCGAGGAGCGCCCCCCCGCCCCGTCCTGCCGGGCCCTGCGCGGGGCCGCGGCGGCTCCGCTCCCGGTCCCGGTCCCGGTCCGCAGTAAAGGAGGAGGCCGCTGCCCCCCCCGCCCCCGCGGTGCCTGTCACGTGTGCGTGTGTATTGCGTGGGGCGGGGAGGGCGCCCCCTGGCGGTGCGGCGGAACGCGGCGGATTGCGTTTCCTATTGGCTCTGGCGGCCGTCACGTGAGCGGGGCGGGCGGAAGATGGCGGAGCCGCCCTGCGCCGCGGCCGAGGACGCGTGGGGGAAGGTGGGAGCGGGGCCGGGGCCGGGACCGGGACCGGGGATGGGACCGGGGCGGGGGGGGCTCGGTTGGGTGCGCGCAAGGGGCGGGGGGGAGGGACCGGGACCGGGTGAGCGCGAGGGTCAGGGCCAAAGGTGACCGGGGGGGGGAGCTGGTACCGGGGGGGGGGGTCCGGGCCGCGGTTCCTGCCCCAGCCCCGCTCACGTCTCCGCTCCCGCCGGCCCCGCGCAAGGTGGACGCAGCGTACGGCGACAATGGCCTGGACTCGGGTACGTGCTCGGCTCCGGCTACCGGGGCCTTATCCCCTCGGCCCCGTTCGTGTCCCCCCCCCGTGTCCCCCTTACTGTGACCCCGTCCCCTGCAGCGCTCTTCATGGAGAGCGCCCGGAAAAGCAGCATCGTGTCCCGGGCCAACAGCATCGGCTCCACCAGCGCCTCCTCTGTCCCCAACACAGGTGGGGTTTGCTCCCCGTGAGCGCGGGTCCTGCTCCCTGCGGCGCCCAGCCCGGAGCAGGGGGTCCCGCTCCCTCCCTGTGCCGAGGGGAGGTGGTGGGGAGCCGCACCAGGGCATCCAGCGGGTTTGGGTTCGGTGCCTTCCCGAGGGAGCTGCAGCCTTCTTCCTCCTGCCCGGCTCTACGAGGGAAGGGCAGGGGTTGGCCGGGCCCCTTGGGGTGTTTGTCGGTGGCCTGGTGCAGAGGCCAGCCCAGCTCCATCGCCCTCCCCTGGGCTCTCTCCATGCAGACGATGAGGACAGCGATTACCACCAGGAGCCCTACAAGGAGTCCTACAAGGACCGGCGCAGGCGGGCGCACACGCAGGCGGAGCAGAAGAGGCGAGATGCCATCAAGGTAACCGCGAGCCCTGCAGCACTCTCCTGCCCTCAGCACCTTCCCCTTGGCTTTCCTGCTGGACCAACTCTCCCCAGGCTCTGGCTGGGAGCTGGGCTTTGATGCCTGTCCGTTCCACACTGCTGCACCCCAAATGCATGGGCTGTGCCTCTGCTTCCCCACAGAAAGGCTACGATGACCTCCAGGCCATCGTTCCCACCTGCGAGCAGCAGGATTTCTCCATAGGCTCCCAGAAGCTGAGCAAGGCCATTGTTCTCCAGAAAAGTGAGTCTTGAGGGTGGGGAGAGGGAAGGGGGTGCCAAGAACCCCCAAAACCACCTCGCTAGAGCAGGGCAGCAGTGGGGGTTCAGCACTTCTGGTGTAATGATGCTGTGGGGGGAGCTCAGTGCTGGTCACCTCCACCCAGCTCCTGAGGAGGACCATGGCAGAGGGAGCTCCGTGGGACGCTTGGGTGCATTCTCGAATCCTCACTCTGTGTTTTCGTGCTCAGCCATTGACTACATCCAGTTCCTGCACAAGGAAAAGAAGAAGCAAGAGGAGGAACTTTCCACCCTCAGGAAGGACGTGATGGCCTTGAAGATCATGAAGGCGTAAGGGAAGAGCTGTCGGGTGCTGCCCTCTTCTTCCTGCCCCAGCCTTGCCAGACTCCGTGCCTGCAGCCCCAAACCCCTCCCTGCCTGCTGCTGCCACGGCTTCTCCTCCAGCAGCCCTTAGTGCGGGTGTCCTGGGGCTAGTGGTGGGGTTCAGTGTGAAGGTGACCCCGAGTTCCTCGCACCAGGAGCGGCTGCAGCTTCCCAGTGTTGGTTCCCTGCAGGCTCTCGTTCCCCCTGTCCCTGCGGAGGCCTCTGCTGCTGACCACGGGGCCCTTGCTTTGTTCCAGGAACTACGAGCAGATTGTGAAAGCTCACCAGGACAACCCCAACGAGGGGAAGGACCAGGTCTCCGACGAGGTGAAGTTCAACGTGTTCCAAGGCATTATGGATTCCCTCTTCCAGTCCTTTAACGCCTCCATCTCGGTGACGAGCTTCCAGGAGCTCTCGGCATGCGTCTTCAGCTGGATTGAGGAGCACTGCAAGCCCCAGGTGAGCGCTGGGAGCGGCTGTGGGTGCCAGCCCTGGGGCTGTTCCCCCATTGGAAGACCTGACCCTGTCTCGTGTCTCCCCCTGCCCCAGACGCTGCAGGACATCGTGATCGGGGTCCTGCACCAGCTCAAGAGTCAGCTCTACTGACCCCCTGCAGCGCCCCGGGGCTGCCACCTCCTGCCCAGGGGCCACGGTGACGGGCACCAGCAGGGGCTGGGCCATCCCCTCCACCTGCTTCTAAAGCTTCTCTGGATTATTTATTAAGTACAAACCCAACCCCAGCACAGTCGAGATCACTAAATAGTTGTAGGGACTTAGCAGAAGAGGGGTGAGTGTGGATGGAGCAGAGGTGCCCCCCCCCACCATCCCATATCTACCCCCAAGTTCCAGCTCAGGCAGTTGGGGTGGGGTTTGCCTGGGCTACCAGTGCAGCAGCTCTGGCCTCTCAGGCCTCTGCCACAACCCCTCTGCTGCCAGGAACTGGGAGAGAACACATGTTAAAGAGGCTTCAGCCCTACCTGGGGCTTTCTGGTGCCCCTCCGAAGCAGCCGCTATGGGGCAGGCTTTGCAAGTTGAGGAGCTACTCCTGGCTTCTTTGTGGTTTTGATGTGGCCACACTCAACAGGAAGGCAGGTGGGCAGCTGAAGGCAGTCGCTCCCTGCTGCTCCTTCCATCCACACACACACAAACAGCCCGGATTTGGTTTGATGAATCAGTGCAAGCAAACACCCTGAAGCGTTCCCAGCCAGGCTCTGACACTCTTGAACCTGCCCCGTGGCACTGGTGGCAGGGGGGTCGTGGCTTTTGGCCATACAAAGGCCTCGTGTGGAGGAGCAGCTGCTGGGGGGGGGTGAGTTGGTCACACGGGGGCTCTTGCAGTGGGGCCTGTGCTCTGTGACCGTGCTTTGCTCCCACTCAGCGGGGTGGGTATTTATTTCACCCGGGGGATCCAGGAGGTGCCTCAGCTCCTTGGTTTCAATGCATGAGAATGGTTCAGTTACAGCTCCTACCCCAGCAGCGGTGCAGAAGCGGGGTTGGGGGGTGGTTTTGATACAGAATCATTCTTCAACCCCTGCCTTTGGGTCTAAGCACCACAAAGGCAGCCCCTAGGCCAAGCCCTGCAGTGCTGCTCATAGGCACAGGCTCAGCCCTGGCCCCCTGGGCAGATGCTGCTGGGTGTGGAAGCAAACTTGGGGTGCACAGGTCAGGGCTGGGGCTCTGGGGCATGGCCAGGAGCCCTGGCTCTGCTCCTGCTGCAGGAGGAGGCCGTGGATTTCACAGAGCTCCCCTGTGAAATCACCTATTTTTTCTATTGTGAAAAGTAATTAAATTTTGCTGAATGTTTTAATGCTTTTCCTGGGTTTCTTTCTGTTGCCGAGGGCTCAGGGTTGCGCCCATCCCACCTCTTTGCCTTCCCCACCCCTGAGGGCTGCTGCAACCCAGAACCCAAACCCTGCCCGACACCTGAACAGAGAGAGCCCACCACAACCTGAACCCAAATGCTGGTGTTTAATGGAGCCTGTGCTTGTGTCATGGCTGAAATACACGTGGAGCTCTGCAGCCACCAGCTCCATCACCCTCCCGAGGGCCCCCTGGACCCTGCTGTGAAGCATTCCGAACCACAACATCTATCAATGTGCAGGATGAGCCCAAGCCCTGCAAAAAGAGGACAAAAACCAACCCAAGAGCTGAGTTCCAGCACCAGCTCCTCCTCCTGGAGCAAAGGCTCCTCGGTGCCTCACACGGCCGCTGGCAGCACGACGTTGTGCTCCTCGTCTGTCTCTATCCCGACCTCCTCCTGCAGGAGCACAGAGGGCTCAGCACCGCGGAGCTCAGCACAGCGCCGGCCCCACAGAGCCCAGATTTGGAACTTACAAAGAATTGCTTCTTGCTTTTGGGGTACCCCTCCAGGATGGCGTCCAGCAGCTCGGTCGCCTGCAGGGACAGGGGAGACCTGAGCCAGTGCAGGGGGTGACAGGGGCTGGTTGTTCCCAAGGGCAGGCAGAGCTCTGCAGGAACCTTGTCCTCAGGCACCCCGGTACCCCAAGCCCAAGCACAGCGCTGCCTGCTCCACAACTACAGCCTCAGCATTGCAGCAGTGGGAAGAGGCTCAGCTCAAGCTGGGGCTGCTCCCCAAGCTGCCCAGCACACACACACACCCCCCCCCCCCCAGGGCATCCATAGCACCCAGTGTCACAACAGGACGGTCACCACCCCCTGCTTGGTGGCACAACCATTACCATTCGCTTCCTGCGCCGCCACTCTCTGCAGTACAGCTTCTGCTCACTGCAGACCTGCGGGCAGCAAGGCAAAAGTGAGAGCCAGCCTGGCAGAAGCCACCCCACGAAGGTGCTGTAAGTGCCTGGTGCCAAGGACCTGCCTGAAGTGCCAACGAGGGGGTTATTTAACAGCCCAAGTGGCTCACAAGGGCCCTGCCAGACACGGAGCTCCCTGTGAACCCGCTCACCCCAGACAGGGGCAGAGCATAGAACCAGAGAATCAACTGGGTTGGAAAAGCCCTTTAAGCTCATCCAGTCCAACCTCTACCCCAGCAATGCCAAGGCCACCACTAACCCATGGCACTGAGGCCTCGTCTCCACGGTGTGTGAACACTTGCAGGGACGGTGACTGCAGACCTGCCCTGGGCAGCCTGTTCCAATGCCTGAGCACCCTCTGGGGCAGGAATTGTTCCTCAGCTCCATCTAAACCTGCCCTGGGGCAGCTTGAGGCCG